TAAAAGGAACCATCCACTTGCTGATGATCCTTCCTTAGCAACAAGCTCATTGAGATGTTTGGCAAATATGGAAGCCCACAAGTGGCACGCCAAATCTTTGATACCATCAAACACAAAGACTCCTTTTCGTGGGCTTTCATGTTTCGAGCTTACGCCCAAAACTCCCATCTTAAACATGCAAAAGAGATCTTCGACAAAATGCCGCAAAAGGATGTCCTTGCATGGACATCCATGCTCTTGGCATATGCCCGGAGTGGGCATATTCTCAATGCCCAAAAAACATTTGATGAGATGCCGCAACACAGCCTTCTCTCGTGGAATGCAATCTTGTCAGTCCACGCACACAGCTGGGATCTAAAAACTGCCGAGAGGACTATCTCTGGGATGCCCGAGTATGATCTCGTGTCGTGGAATTCCATTCTTGCGGCATATGCCCGGAACGGGCATGTAGAGGGAGCGAAACGTGTTTTCGATTCTATGGAGGCTCGTGACCTTGTGTCATGGACGACAATCTTGGTTGCCTTGTCGCAGGGCGGAGATTTGCACGGAGCAAAGCTTTTGTTTTATGCAATGCCGCAGCACGATCTCGTCGCCTGGACCGCGATGCTTGGCGCGTACGCACTGAACGAGGATGTCGATTCAGCACAGAGGATTTTCCGCGAGATGCCTGAGATAGATCTCGTTTCTTGCAACACCGTGATGCGATGCTGCCGTGATGCTAGACAATCAAAGCTTATATTTGACTCCATGCCGCAGAGAGCTCTCTCGTCGTGGACAACAATGCTCGCTGTTCTTGCCAAGAACAGCCCCGGGGAGGAAACCAAGAGCTTTTTCTATCAAATGCCGGAGCTTGATCTTACTTCCTGTACGATAATGCTGCTCTCACAACCCTCAGACTTGGAGCTTGTGAAGGCCACCTTTGATCAAATGCCGCAGCGAGACCTGTGCTCTTGGAACTCTATTCTTTCGGCGTATGCTCAATCAGGGCATTGTGACTTTGCTTTAAGACTCTTTAACGAGATGCCCGAAATGGATATGGTTTCGTGGAACACAATGTTAAATGCGTTTGTTCTAACTAGCAAACTACGTGAAGCTGCTTTACTCTTTCATAGCATGCTAGAACGCAACGTTGTGACCTGGGATGCTTTGATATCTGCATTTTCCCGAGAAGGCCATATTGTATACGCAAGGAAACTTTTTGATACAGCCCCTGACAGAGACCAAATCTTGTGGAGCTCCATGATAGCTTCATATGCACAAGTAAGCACCACTGCCAGCAAGGCCTTTCATCTCTTCAACGAAATGCAGGCCGTCGATTCCCCAAACACATCGTGCTTCGCATCCATCTTGGCCGCAAACAGCCACAAAGGCAGCTTTCAAGCGGGAAAGAGCTTCTTCGCTTCCATGGTTGTGGATCACGCCATTGAGCCCACAAGGCAGCACTACAGTTGCATGGTAGATCTCTTGAGCCGAGCCGGCCACCTTCACGACGCCAAAGATCTAATCTTAAGCATGCCGTTCGTTCCCAGTGCTCTCGAGTGGACGTGCCTTCTTGGAGCATGCAAGAGCCACGAGGATTATAACAATCTTAGACTGGGAGACGATGTAGTGAGATCTGTAATGGACGTAACCGACGCAAGCCCCAAGACACCCTATGCTTTACTAGCAAACGTCTACACAAGCTCCCAAACAAAAAATCCACGCTATATGTGAAATCTAAGGACTTACTCTCTCCTGTACACATGAAGTCATTTTAATCACCTCCGCCACAGCCCCCACCGCTACAGCCTCCGCCACCACCACAGCCTCCTCCACCGTGGCCTCCACCGTGGTCACCCCCAGAGCCTCCACTGTGGCCTCCACCATGGTGGCCACTGCTAAACATTGCTCCCACGAAATCGGAGCGTCTTCTTGGCTTTCGCCTTTTTGGCGATGCAACGAAACTGAAACACATTTTGGATTGATTGCTTGCATGCAAGGGGGCATAATCTTCTGCTTATACACAGGCTAGAAGGCAATTTGAGACTTTGACCCAGAGGAAGCCACGAAGAAAGCAATGATAGCGCGTGGACCTGGAGAAGTTTATGCAATCAGTGTCACGTCGTGACACTTCATCAGAGTGTTCAAGAAACGCAAGACGTGCATTTGTCTATCGAACCTTTGAGGAATACGTGCATAAAATCTCGTCAAATTGCGCGTGAAGGAAGTTGCTTTGCTTGCTCCATATGGTCAGGCCTTGTGGCCAATCAGATGTTCTCCTGCCTAGTATATAAGCGCAAGCCTCCCCCCATCGATCATACCTTTATCTTGCGCAATCCAAGATGTGTTTCGGTTTCTCTCAATCCTCTAACAGGCGAAAGAAGAGGCGAAGGCGCTCGTCTGCAGCAACGGGCGCCTTCATGGGGGCTGCAATCGGCAGTGGTGGCGGAGGCGGCACTGGCGGCGGTGGTGGTGGTGGTGGTGGCTGCGGAGGAGGCGGTGGTGGAGGCGGCGGCGGTGGAGGCTGCTAAATACTCTGTATGAGAAATAATGAATGTTCCTTGGTTTTCCAAAACTTCCTCAAATAATACGTTGTATTGAACTTGTTTGTTTTTTACAGCCAAGGATTGAGCTGGCCACGATCTTAGCACTGTTTTGGAACTAGTAAGTAGAATCTCGTAGAATCTATTCAGCAATTCTATGTACTTCAGGTACTATAGTGATTCAGGTAAAATCCAAAAAAAAGGGAAACATCCACTTACAATACAACGTTTTGGGCTCTCTTCTCTTGTCTTCTCTCGAGCAAAAGCTTTGATTCTTTTAGCTCTCTCTCGCCTCCTGTTTTCTTATGATTCGCGTCGGGTTCTCCTTTGGCGGGCGCCCTCGCCTTCCTTCTCAATCTCGTTGCCAGCCGCGTCGTCCTCCGCCTTGTCCTTGGAATCGTCCGGGCTGGAGATGTCTTCCTTCTTGGACTTTTCTACAGTCACCTGCGCAAGACAAACAACCATGAGAATCCAAAACTCGCGCAACGCTATTGGCTAATTGTACCGTTGTCTTCATGGGGGGCGATTTCTTGCCACCTAATAGAATCTTAAACAGCGTGACCACCACGACGAGCGGGTTCAAAGCTATGGCGCTCAAAGAAATGGTTGGGAACTTCTCGGCCTTCACCAGAAGATCCTGTCACAAACGAAAAGAAAGTTAGAATACGAGACAAAGTCCATGCTCGTGTGTTTTACTTACAAGAATCTTTTCCTTCTGTGACGCCAAAGCCGGGATGTCGGCAACCTTGCGCAGGTACTCAAACATCTTTGCCTGAAAAGATTCGAGGTCGTCACACACACAAAGAAAAAATAAAACGACAAAAGAAGACAAAGGAAAAGTACCTGGATGCCGTCAGGACTCGGAGTCGCTTCTTCAATCTTTTGCTTCTCCTTCTCAGCCTCGTCCTTGGGCTTCCATTTCGTCTCCCTGTACTCTGCTGCCACAGCCCGGTCGCCACCAGGATGTTGTCAAAAAGAATGCCGTCCTGCATCGTCCAGATCTCGATTCCTATCGCCGAGATCGGCTCTAGGTCCGGCCTGTCCAACTCGAAGTACTCCGGGTTCGGTATTTGCTTCGGAACCCAGATCCCCTTGTAAGCCGGGTTGTCGATCATCGGAGGATACCACTTCCCCTTGTAGTCCGGGTTCCTCTTCATGGGCCTCTTCCATTCTCCACACCCAGACGCTTCCTCACACTTTGGGTTGCTGATCTTCGGGGGCTCCCACTCGCCATCCTCCTCGTCGTCCCAGTCCGCGGGCTTGCTAGCTTCGGGATCGTCAACCTCGTCCGGCTCGTTGTCCAGCCAGTCATCGGGCTTGACCGCCTCCGCGTCCTCGATCTCCAGTGGAGCGTCCTCGTCCCAATCGGGCTTGGTCGCTTCCGGATCGGGGATCTTCACCCGCTCGTCCCAGTCCTCGGGCTTCTTGTCGTCGGGATTGGGGATGGTCTTGGGCGGGATCACAATCGCTCGAGAGGAGGTCGACGCTCTTCTCCTCCTTGCCGTCGACGAGGATCTTGAGCGTGTTGTTTGGGTAGATCACTGTTGTGTAGACGTGAGAGAGCTTGTCAGCCACTGGCGATGGCGGGTACTTGAGGTGATGCTCGATGTGCTTGTCAGATTTGGGGCCCTTGTGCTTGTAGATGAAGTGGACGTTGTTGGTGGTGCTGCATTTGTCTGGCCCAAACATGATTGAGTAGGGGGATTCGTTGCTAAAATTGCCAGGCATCCATCCAGCCTCTTGCAGGAGAAGGAACTTGAAAAGTTCAAAAGCTCGGGGTAGTTAGGTGGTGAAGAACCTAAAGAAGAGATTAAATCTTTTATTTTCACACTAACATTAATAATGAAACCCAATTCGATTCTCGTGGCTAACAGAATTAGTTTGGTAAACCCTAAAAGAAGTAAAGAGTATAATCGCAGATGACCATTCCTTGGCATAAAGAGGATTGTTAAGCACCAAATAGGATAGAAAAAGGGCTTATAAACAAAACCCTCTTTTGAAAAGAATGCACACTTCAAGCTTTTACCTGAGTTAAGGAAGTGACAAATAATCTTTGAAACAATCACAAAAACTTATTAAATATAAAATAACATTAAATTGCAAATTTGGATGCAAGAATAATTTAACAAAATGCCATGTTAGAGTTTAGTATGGTTTCTATATGTCTATGCAGGATCAAGAGATATGGACTTGACACCACGATTTTTCAATAAAATGCCATACCAGAAACTAGTTTCTTGGAACACTATGCTTGATGCTTATGCCCAAAATGGGGTTCAATGCAATGGTGGAGAAGGACGTAATTTCTTGGACTATAATGCTTGCTGGCTATGGCCTTAGTGGCCAAAGTTCACTTGCAAGAAAAACTTTTGCCCAGATGCCAGGGAAGAACGAAGTTTCTTGGGAGCAATGCTCACTGCATGTACCCAAGCAGGGGATTCGGTTTCTGTGTTTGAGTTGTTTCACACTATGCAGATGGCTGGCATTTACAACCAAGTTGGATTTGTCTCTGCTCTCAATGCTCACGGCCAAGTTGGCAGTGTTAAATGTGCTTGAAGTTGCTTTGTTTCAATGGCTTTTGACTGTGGCATTCAGCCATGTCACCAGCATTACTCCTGCATAATCGATGGCTTGGCAAGAGTTGGTTACACTGACAATGCAAGAGAACTCATTGGAAACATGCCATTTGTTCCCACTTCTTTGGATTGGCTGTGCCTTTTAGCTGCATGTCAGAGCCTTGAGTGTGGAACCTGCATATTCCAGTCATGATGTAAATCTCAAAAGGAAGTTATTGTTTTGGTGGCTAGAGAATTGGGGCCATGCATCGAATCAATGGTTTGTTGCTAGCTCTCACCCCATACAAATGGAATGTTGTGTTGTACTAGAGCTATTAAAGGCCATAAACATGCAACATAGTTCTGGAGGAAATGGTGAAAAAACTTGTTTGCCTGAGAAAGCCACGAAGTTGTTTCAATTTGGTTGGTAGGGACTGATCCAAAATCTCACCAACCTTGGCCATTTGGGGCTTGATCCCATCATGTGAGACATCAAATCCTAGCAACTAGCCTTCAATCACCTTGAACTTACACTTTGCCAGACTCAAAGAAAACTTATATTGTCGGTAGCGAGTGAAAATCTGCTCCAATTGCAAAAGGTGGCCATCAAAAGAATTGGAGGTCATGCACAAATCATCCATATACACCCTCAAGGCCTCTCCAATCAAGTCGTGAAAGGTATGGGTCATAAAGCATTGAAATAAACCAAATGGTAGGACGTTGAAAGTGAAAATGCCCCAAGGTGTCTGAAAGGCTATAAGATCTCGGTGATTGGGATGAATGAAGATCTAATTGTACCCTAAAAAACCATCCATGAAAGAATAGTAATAGTGTCCAGCCATCTTATCCACAATCACATCAATAAATGGCATTGGGAAGTGATCTTTTGCAATTGCCTTATTCAAATCTCAAAAGTCAACATAGAGGCAAAATTTTCCATTTGCCTTGTATGCAATGATGAGATTGGCCACCCACTCTAAGTTCTCCAAAGGTAAATAAAGTTGGCTGCCAGAAGTCACTCGATCTCCAACTTCATCTTCACATAAGCTGCCGGGTGAAATACTGCATCTTTTGATAGACTAGTTTGTTTGACTCTGAAAGCACAATGCTGTGAATGATTGTGTCCATAGAGACTCCTAAAAGCTTGTTGTAGTTCCAAGCAAATACATCCTTGAAATAATGAAGGAGATCCAAGAGCTTTGCTAGGTTTGTTGAAGTAAGCAATGTGGCAATAAAGTCCTTGTCACTATTGAGGAAAATAACACAAGTCCTAGAGCCTAGAGGGACCTTGGGCTCAAGGGGCTTATGTATCTCAAACTCCTCCATTGTTTGCCTTTCGCATTGTGGTGATTGCTTCATGTAATAATCTTTTTACCCAAAAGTTTTTTTCACGAAGGACAGTTTGAAAAGTTATATGAAAGAACTCATCCTTCAAGTTGACTGCATGCTGCCATAGCTCTTTCAGGTTCTCTTTGTAGACATGGTATTCTCCAGTAAGTTGGCATGTGATGAGTTGCACATCTCTAATGAAAGTGGCTTGCTTAAATTTGAAATCTGCTACCAACTTCATGGTATCAATAGCTGCCAAGAACTCCACTTCATTAGCTGATGTTTTTAGCAAAGTACTAGAGAGGTTGGCTACTTTGTTCTTAGTAGAATCAATCATCCAAACTCTAATGCATTCAAACTCTAATGCATTTACATTTTGTACATATGCCTTATTAGCATATTTAAACACTTTCCATAAATAGTTAATAGAACTTAATGAAACTATCATATGAGGTATGATGGTGAGGTGTTTAATGGATAGTATGTTATCATAAAGCAATTTTAAAGGACTAGAATTTAATATGCAAAGGTTTTTCTGAAGTTAGTGTAAGATTGTAGCGCACGTGGTTTTTGACCCTTTATCCTATGGTGATTTACCATAGGATAACACCACGAAGCGGAACCTAAACCCTCTTTGTGCCACGTGACAGATGCCACGTGTCACATGCCACGTGTCCATGCCACGTGTCCATAGGAACCCAAGGTTCAAGGCCTTGGGCCACTGAACAAAGGAACGGTGCCAAACTCCCAAGCATGGAGCCAAGGAGTGACGAAACCGAACCATGGAGCAACTCCCGAGCATAAAGCCCAAGGAGCGAAGGGACAGGAGCCCGGAGCGACTTGGAACAGTCCTGGAGCAACCAGCATCCCAATGCCAAGACCAGCATGCAAAACGGAGCCAAACGGAGTCTGGCGCTATTTCGGCATACCGGTGGCCTAACGTGAGGACAAGGGTACTCCACCAACTAGCATGGAATGGAACTTGGGCTTAGACCCAAGCCGGACGCAGAACAAGGACAGGCACGCAAGCGGGAGCTAGACTATGCCTCAGGTTGGTCGGCCATGCCCGACCTACCCACTATCCCTACTATACATTTGGAACCCCCCATAGCCCCCCCCCCTTGAGGAACACACGCTTTGGGCTTTCACCCCAAGCCTCCCTTAGTATCAGGAGTTAGTCTCTGGGACAAGCTCGAAACTTACTAAATATGGAATGTCCCTAGATTGCGAATTTGGACACGAGACGAACACTATTGTGTTCAGGACAATCTCTACATTCCGTAGATATGCCAAATGAGCAAATCTGGACACTTTCCACAAATAGCATTTGGGACCGAAATGAGACTAACACAAAGGGCATGATAGC